TCCACGATCGCTCTGGCCTTGCGAAGCGTGACCTCGGTCTTGATACGTTTGGGCGACTTGTCGGGGCCCAGGTGCAATCGGCAGCGCTCGGCACCAGGGGGGTCGACCCAGAACTCCTTCCAGCCGTCGGGGCCCTTGAGGAGCGACGTGGCCTTGTGGGCACGGCGCGAGGCAATGGTGGTCGAGCCCGTGAAGCAAATCTCGAACCTCCTGGCAGGAGACTCGCCTTTCTGCTTGATCTCGTACTGTTCGTCCTCAAAGCCAATCTCGCCGAGCCAGGGGCGCAGCGAAGAGACCACTGAGGCCAAGGTAGTAGGGCGCTGTGACACAGCAACAACAATCGTGGTGTCCTCCTCGCGGTCGAAGGACGTGGGGGCAGCGAGCTGCTTCCTGGGAGTCTGCTCGGCGATGGCCATCTGGCGACGGAGTTCGGCAAGCTGGTCTTGAAGATCATGAATGGACTTGTCGTGGGCGTCAGCACGGCCCTCAAGCGCGGAGAGGCAGCGCTTCTGCTCGTCGAGCTGAGCCTGCAGGCGCCTGTTGAGGGAGTCGAGCCTGGGCGCGATCGCCGTCTGGACCTGGCCCTCAATGGCGCTGGACTGCTTGGCCACCTCGCTCTGCATGGAGGACAGCATCTTAAGTAACGTGTTGTGGTTGGACGTGATGGTCTTGGCGACAGACTCGGACACCTCGGTGGTGATGGTGTCCCGCATGGAGGCGAATTCCTCTCTGCACAATTGCCGGAGAAAGTCACCATCGTCTTCATCATCATCCAGAAGAGAAGCAACAGGAGCCTCGCCGTCGGCCGACGCGAGGGCTTGCCGCTTGCGCTGCACGAAACGGCCCGCACCCTTGCCCTTGCCAGTGCGCTCGCTGTCGGGGAAGGTGGGCATGGCCTCGAGCTCGGCAAGAATCTGGCGCTCCTGGGTACTGGCAGGCCCAGCTGGGACCGCATCTGCCATCAGAAGCACAGAAAACGAAAGTGTCCGCCAGCCTTTGACAGCTGGATGGCCCTGGGGGAAGGGCTGCCTCACTCAAAACGGGCCTGTCCCGAACTTGAGCCAAAATGGCAACGGAGGAGGATGCGGAGGAGGAGGAGGAGGATGAGAAGGAGGAAGAAGAGGAGGAGGAAGGAGGCCTGCGACGCGCCGCTCCTGTCGGCATCGCAACATGAGGGCACCACGCTCAGGAACACGTCCTTCGTCGACGACCTCACCGACTAGAACTCGACGGAAGCTGCTAGCGACCTCCTCGAGGTCACCCGACCTTCGGCCACCAGACTCTGCACCGCAGCTTACCAACACGGACTTAAGCCGCCCCCCCGACAAGACCACGGCCATTTTCATACACTACGGAAGCGGAGCCAGAAAGGAACGACAGAAGATCGCCACAGACAAGATCCGATCCATCGAGCTCGAGGGTCTCCGCATCAAGGTACAGTTCGTGAAGCAACAGAAAACTCCAGGCACCATCATCACAGCCGGCGGCGTCCTGGGCCCCGAGGTCTGCCTGAGGGTCAACCGCACATCGGGAGCAGCAAGGCCACTCGAGAAACATATCCTCCGCCGCAAGAAGATCTCGCAGAATGCCAAGTTGAAATATATCCATGCGCTCTCGACCTCGTCGCTAGCATGCAACCATCACGTCTGGAACGGCCTCACTACGAAGGACCACGACCACACCGCCTCGCAGTACATGGGACCCTACCGCGTCGCGGCCAGGCTGCCCGAGACCAATAACCCCGAGAAACACATCACGCTGAAGGAGGCCGTCGCGAAGACTGGAGTGCCCGACTTCGACACCCACCAAACGGCAGCACGACTACGTCACTTACCTCGTCTGCTTCAACACGGACCTGCCGCCTTGCTCCAGCTACTCGACGGCCAGCGGCAACGGACGGGCACCTGGAGCTACCAGCTGAAGCAACACTTCGCCTTCCTCCGCAAGTACCTGAACCCAGACAAGTGGCCCGATAAGGGCAGGCAGGACGGCGACATCATCGCATGGGCACGGAAACGACCCAAGGAGTTTACCAACGCGGCAAAGCTGCGATCAAGGCCTTCATCTGCCACACCCGCGACCAAGCCCAAAACGAGGTACTCACCAAGGACCTCAAGATGCACCCGGCCTCTCCGAGCGAGCACAGCGACCGCCGACGATACTAGCCCTCAGAACTACGTCTGCTACGTATGCTGGCGGACCACCAAGACGAAGCAGGGTATGGCAGTGCACATGGGCTGGGAGCACAACGATCTCACGAACCCACAGCTTTGGGCAACAAGCACGGCCTGCCGAAACTGCCAGATGGAGTTCCACAGCTTCTCGCGCCTCGTCAAACACTTGACCTTGGCGCACCGCTGCCGCAGGTCCTGGTACGTCTGGTACTGCATGACGCAGGAGCCCCTGACCGAGCAGCAGATCACCGACCACTGTGAGGCCATCGCTACGACAACGACAGCCAACAAAAAGCAAGGACGACCAGCAACCTACAACCAAGTCCCCGCCTACAAAACGGACGTTACGCCACTACCGTTGCTGGACACCTGTCGCGCCGAAGGTCTACGCTACCATACAGGCCGAGAGCACACAACCGACCACGACAGCACAGCCCGACGCAGCAGACCGACAGGCAATCGTATTTACCACCGACCGACCGAGCGTGCCAGGTGACCTCCAGCAGATGATGGCCACCTGTACGATCACATCCATGGGCGGAATGGACTACACCACGGTCGACACCATCCCCTACGGGGAAGCGACAGCATCCGGCGACGGTCTGGACCAAGTCCGCACCAAAATGCAGCATGGCAATATTGCAGCGGTAGATGCTGAGATTCCGAGACGCACATGGTACGACTACGATCCGACAGACGGTGCAGCATACTCTGCTATGAAATGCATCGCACGTGGTGCACTCTGGGGAAGAGCCGACATCTCCGAGAAGGTCGCAAACGAGATCCACAACGCCAACACCGTGACCAAACTAATGCTCGCTATAATACATGCCGCTGCCGACATGAACATCCCGCTTGTTGCCGTCCACAAGCAACCGTCAGACCATCGCGCTGAAGGGTTTACTTGCCGGGAGCTCCCCGAGACGCAGCACATCGCCACGCACCCGTCGGTGCACAGCAGCACGGCCACGCACTACTAGTCAGGGAAGGTCAAGATCAGTTTGACTGCTACCTTTTCCATCGAGGCATCACCCATGAATGAGGCAGGCGCCGACGACGTTGACGCAGTGGCCGCCGAAACGCTTAACATCATGAACATCACCAAATGGGGACTCAAAGCGTCTAGTGCCGTCACAGATGCCGCCATGACTGCTACGTGTGACGCCCATGGCGTGATCTCAGAGGCCGCCTCGACGACAGCCTGGACCCCAGAGCGGAGTGGAGGACCGTCGGGTTCCTCGACGGGAGGCTCGCAGCCCCGAGGGGCCGAAGGGCGAGCCTCTTGTCCCCCGATTACCACGCGGGAGGGCGCAGAGCCAGCCTGGCTCCCAACGCTGAGACCGCCTGAGACCGCTACGCGGAAGTCGGGCCTGTCCCCCTAACGGGGGATTTTGGACGAAAAATAAGAATAGCTAAACACACCCTAAAATTGTCAAAAATGATCAAGAAATCCTCCCCAGACTATGTTTAGACTATATTCGAATATCCCTCCTGTAGAGGGACAGGCCCGACTTAACGCTACGCGTGACGCCCACGACGTGATCTCAGGGATCGCCTCGCCGACAGCCTGGACCCCAGAGCGACGAGGAGGAGCGCCGTGCTCCTCGACGGCGGGCTCGCAGTTCCGAGAGGCCAAAAGGCGAGCCTCTCGCCCCCCCGCGCACCGTGCGGGATGGCGCTGGGCCGGCCCGGCTCCCAGCGCTCGGACCGCCAGAGGAGGTCTGGGGGCCCCCGTGGCCGCCCCGCCGCAAGGAAGAGAAGGGCTGGGGGCCGCCAAGCTGCCCGGTCGCAGAGTGGAGGAGGTCTGGGGGCCAAGCGGCCGCCCAGCCGCAACGACGTGGAGCAGAACTCGTTCGGCACCCGCAAGTGCGTGCTCGGGTGAGAGCGGCAACGGTCGGACTCGGCCGCAGGGCCGATACTGAGGAGCGGCTGAAAGGAGGAGGAGGAGGAGGAGGAGGAGGAGGAGGAGGAGGAGGAGGGGGACTCGCCCCCCCTCACTAAAAGGCCTTCCGAAACGGCTCCCAGGACCCCACCCCGCTCCCGGGGTCCCTGCTGGCCACTTCTTCGAGCCGCGTCCGGCCTTGGCGACGAGAGCCTGTGCAGAAGCTCCAAAGTCCTCCCAAGCGACGACGTCGAAAACGTCGGCGACGCCGACGAGCCTGGGGAGCACCGGGGACCCGTACACGTCGTTCATTTCTAGTCGTGCTCGTTTCTAATTGTGCTCGTTTCTAATCGTTCCTGGCCCCCCGGTGGCCAAGAAGAGGCCCAGGATAGAACCATTAGAAATGAAAGGATCTTGGCCCCCCGAAAAACAAAGAACCCTCGAAGAACTAGACATGAATAATGTGTACCCCTGAAGACGTGATCTCATAGCGTGGAGCCACCAATTTTCCATCCCGAGTGATTTTTTTGGTCGGCTCTCGGGCACGGTCCGGGCGCCAAGAGGCCGAAGGCTGCCAACGGCCCTCCGCCGAGCTTTTCTGCCGCGGCGCGGGGAGGTCTGGGAGGAGGTGGGAGCGGATGAAGAAAGGGGGGGCTAAAACGGAGGAGGAGGGGTGAGAGAGGAGGAGGAGGAGGAGGAGGAGGAGGAGGAGGAGGAGGAGGAGGAGGAGGAGGAGGAGGAGGAGGAGGAGGAGGAGGAGGAGGAGGAGGAGGACGAGGAGGAGGAGGAGGAGGAGGAGGAGGAGGAGGAGGACAAGGAGGAGGCGGAGGCGGAGGAGGAGGCGGAGGCGGAGGAGGGGGAGGAGGAGGAGGAGGAGGCGGAGGAGGAGGAGGCGGAGGCGGAGGAGGAGAAAGGAGGAGGGAGGGAGGAGGAGGAGGGATCTCCTGCTCCACAGCCTCGGGCCGGCTCGGGGGCCGCAGGCGACGGCGTCGCGCGGCCGCGGCCCGTCCGCCTCGAGAGCCAGAGCAACGGCTCCTGATAGTGCTTGCGATGATCATGGTTATGCTTCTGCTGGTGATGGCGACGATGACGAGGAGGATGACGACGACGGCGGTGATGCTGGTGCTGCTGATGAGCATGGTGGCGATGATGAGGCTGAAAGTAGTGGCCAAACTGATGATGCTGGTGATGATGATGATGATGATAAGTATGCTGAAGCTGCTGATGATGTTGATTATCATGATGCCGATGGCGATGCAGGTGCGAATGCTGCTGCTGATGATGACGACGATGACGATGGTGATGGTGATGATGATGATGCTGATGATGGTAATACGGCTGATGATGTTGATGGTGGTGCTGAGGATGATGATGATTAGGGTGATGATGGTTACGACTATGCTGATCATGCTGATGATGACGACGACTATGATGCTGCTGATGCTGATAATGGTAGCAACGAAACTAATGTCAATGATGCCGATACCTTTTGTGATGATGATGATGCCGCGGATGGTGATGCTGATGACGCTGCTGATGCTGATAATGATGCTGATGCTGATGCTGCTGATTATGCTGATGCTAATGGTGCTATTTATGCTGATGAGGTTGATGCTGAGGTTGATGAGGATGCTGCTGATGATGATGATGATCATGATGATGATGATGATGCTGATGATTCTGATGATGGTGGTGGCGGTGGTGATGATGGTGCTGCTGCTGATAACAATGATGATGCTGATGATGCTGCTCCTGCTGCTGCTGCTGCTGATGCTGATGATGATGATGATTTTTCCTCGACGTCAGGACCAACATCTGATAAAAAAGATGTGGCGTACAGTGACTCCAAACTTAAAGATCCGTCGCAAAGGGCCAACTGTCTCGTACTGCCCCGCGTGGGCCAAGCTGCCAGGGTGCTGCGCAGAGGGGCCTCCTGCGCAGCGCGTGCCAAGCAACGTCTCGGGTATGCTAGCTGAAAAGATATTCGGCCGCCTCATCCTCGGCGATTGTATCGAACTCAGGTGGGACCTCCACCTCGCATAGCTCCTCCGCATGTGCTGGCACGGCAGGGGGGGGGGGGGGTGGAAGCACGTCGGAGGCGGGAGGGTACGTGACCGTGACCGTGCTACTGCTGGCAGGGAGGGCTTCGCCTCGGACAAAAATGACACGGCGCTGGATAGTACCATCTCCGCTTATGCTTGCATTGTGCCGTGCAGGCTCGCTCTGGCAGAAAAGGGGGTTCACTGCTCGAGCGTCTCCAGCCAGTGGCCGACCTCCTCCTCGAGCCAGCCTGCTGGGGCCGCGCCTCTGTGGTGGACCGCTTGGCCCTCGGCCTCGAGGGTGCGGCTGATCAGGACTCGGCCCTCCCACGTAGGCGCGCCGATCGCCAGCTTCGTCTTGGTGTCGTCGTAGCGCTTCTCCAGACGCACAAAGGGGACGACGACGAGGGGATCTTCCTTGCAGATCTCCGCTTCCGCCTCGATGTCCTCGGGCTCCGCTCGGAGCAAGTGGTTCTGAATGGCGCCCTTCATAGAGCCGCCCACGTCGCATTTGTGCAGTCCTTCCAAGGCCGCCATCGCGAGGGACGGAGCTGGCGACCCTATCTCCTGCAGGCGTTTCTTGTCCTCTGGGGTGCCGCTCTTCCTGAGCTCCTGCGTGGTGGCTATGCTCACTGGGTGCTCGTTGCTCATCGTGTACCTGTTGATGCTGCAAGTCAGCCTGGTCTTGAACGTCGTCCGGAGCAGCAGCTTCAGGTCGGTCTTTGTGTCCTTCTCGCCGATCTCTCCCTCTTCCACCTCGATGGGCGTGGCTGCTGGCATGGCTGCCCCCCCTTCCTCGGCTGGTGTTCGTGGTGATCGCGATCGCCTCTGCGGCGGCGGCGGCGGGCCTGGCGGACGTGAAGCCTTTGTCGCCTTCTGGCCTGGCGCGGCGCTGGAGGCGGTGCCAGAGCCCTTCGAGCCCTGGGGGGAGTCCAGCTGGGGTCGCCACGACGCTCTCTGCTTGGGCGTCGTCCCCTGGCCCAGGAGGTAGTGCAGGAAGAGTAGGCGTAGAGGAAACAGTAGCCACTCGAAGTGACCGCGTAGGTGTTGCATATGCTGCTGCTGGGCGCTGTGCCGCTCGCAGCCGTCGAAGTGGTCGGTGTCTAGGTCTGCTGCGAGGGTCGCTGCCCACGGTGTGTTCCACCGACTGACGAATGGCTGCGCGTGCAGCAGGGGTGTCCTCGATGGCAGGCGATGGGCGGCAGCTGGGTGGCGCGGGGCGCGGCGGGGGAGCACTCGGAGTGGCCGAGCGCGCGGTAAGCCTTCTGACGACAGGCTTGAGCATGGAACCCGATGGCGACGGTGGGACATGTCCCAGGACGTGAGCTCGAAGTTTTTGCTGATCATGGTATTCATGCTGGCATGCGTGGTCCAAAGCGTAGTCCCGTAGAGGGCATGTAGTACATGTGGCTGGGATCCAGGGGTATACATGATGAGTAAGTTCTGGAATGCATCTGCCTGCTTGCCATGCTCGTCGTAAATGTCTAACTGCATGATCTTGATTTGGAAACGTAGTTTGGCACACACTATATTTGTTGTCGATCTGTAGGGTAGTCAATACCGCTGGCATGCCGTGTCCTAGGCTCTTAGCTTTAGTTTGATGTGTGGCGAGCTGTTTGAGCGTCCCGAACCGTTTCTGGCATGGCTCGATGTTGCACACGAAGGGGCGGTTCGTCTCGTCGTCTGTGTCCGTCTCGTCGTATGTTGCCGCCGAGGGGAGAGAGGAGGTGATCACGCTGGCCTCGGGGGGAGCCCACTGAGTCGTCCAATAGGAAGCCCTGAGAGCCCGAACGTCGCAATTTAGGAAGGCCTCTCGAACCCACTCGTCACCCCACAAGTTTTTAACAACTCGAGGTTGCCACGCTTCGTGAAAGCTCTCGCCGGTCGTGTGGGGCGACAGGCACAGCAAATCGTCCGCGAGCTGTGTGGCCCACGGGTGCACGTTCGGGTCTGCGGAGATCTCGCCCTGCGAATTGAGGGTGCCAGCGCTGACGGGGCGGTTGCTTATGTCCGCCTGCTGCTCGAACTCGCATCTTCCAAAAAAAAGAAACGAGAAAGTGGCCATGATGTGTGTGCGATCGAATTATGCTCTGCCACCAACTGAGCCTGCGCACGAGTAGCCCAATGGCAGTCGGTGCAACTTGCCATTCAAGAAACACTTGGCGGGGAGACAATGATCGATGATTGTTGTGCTCATCCTCCTGATGTGCCGCTCCTCTCATCATTGATCGTAGTTTGCGGGCCAGCGAACTGTCGAGTCTGTGGAGCTCTCTAGGGGGCAACACGTAGCTTTCGAGGCCAGACCAAGCCCTCCCCGCGACGTTGGACACGATCGCGAGCCGTTTAGCTTTCCAGGGACCTCCAGAGAACCAATAGTCGCCCAGACGGCACCACCCGATCTTACCAGATTGTATGCGGGCCTCGACTTCACGACGATTACTGTTGGCAACATGTACATATCCTCCGAGATGAATCAAGTCCTGGACTGCGTTCCCAGAGATATTCCGTTCGGCCTCCTTCGTAGCCCCGTGAGTGCCCAGTGAGACCAGGATGTCCTGCTTACTGATGTTCTGTGCGTAGCCGCCAGCCTCGAGGGCCTGGGAGAGCGCGTTGTTGTCGATCTTATCAATCTGCAGCGCCTGGAGGGCCGTGCCGTCTGGCACCAAGAGGATCTTAACTAGATCGTCAATGAAAGCTCCAAGATTCGCATCAAACTCTTCACCAGTGAAAGGGCATTGTACCTGGAACGGGTTACCCTGGACCTGTGCCATCTCCTGGGGCCACTGCTTAACTAATGGATAAAATGACTCCATGAAAAGTTCAGGCTCGTTTGAGTCGCCCATCCTCCCTCCCGTCCCTGGTCGAAGAGCTATGCTGGCATCAGACGCCTGCATCAATGCTACAGCCTCGTGTCGGTGCTGCTCAAGGAGGGGGTGTACATGCTCATCTTCGCATCGAAGTGTGTGGGCGGCAACCAGTCGCTCGTGGGAGCCTGTCGCGAATGCGTTCCGCATGTCGTATGACTTAGCGGGAAAAGACATTCTGGCGGATCTCATCTTCCATATCAAAAGCTTAGCAATGAGCATGAGTGGTTCGCGACGGCGGGAATGAATGCCTCCATAGGCCCACGGCGGTGGATCGAATTGGGTTCCATACTGAATGAGTCCTATCCTAAGATACAATCGCCAAAAACGGTCGAAGCAGTGAAGTAAACGTACGCATGCATGAATGTCCTGAATTACGTTGCCAGTTTTTTTTTTTTTTTTTTTTTTTTTTTTTTTTTTTTTTTTTTTTTTTTTTTTTTTTTTTTTTTTTTTTTTTTTTTTTTTTTTTTTGTTTGTGTGTTTTTTTTTCTCCTCTCTCTGATGGCGACCGCCTGGCTGGTGAACGCCTGGGCGGGCAGAGATCCACATCGGTGAACATGAGCAAGCAATGTGACGAAGGTCTGGATGATGGTGGAGCTGGCGTCGTAGTCGATCACGAGCTTCCGTCGACTGGGTTGGTGGGCCCGCTCGGCGAGCGGGTCCGCGTATTGATAGTCGGCGGTGTCATGTCCCATCCCTGCCCGTTGAACTCCAGGTCGCGTCAGATACTGCGGGGCGAGGGGCATGATGGTGAGTTCGATGGGCCATGCCCAAGGTGGATTGTAGCGCCTCCGTTTCTCCCTCCACAATCGTGTCTGCAAATGATCGAGCTCCTCCGCTGCCGTCTCAATATCATGGAGCTCAGGGGCGCCGATGTGCCCCCCCCACTGGTTGAATGTCGTTCGGTTGGGCAAGTAGTCGTGGAATAGCTGTCGGGTCATCGATATACATACTGACGTAGGCGGGCGTAGCAGAGAGTCCCCCCTGGACGGCTGGCTGGGCAAGGGCGTCGGCGTATTCGGCTGCGGTGGGACGTGTGGATGGCAGTGCTAGGTATGATCGTCGTCCTGGTCCCGTCCGTCGTCCCGCTCGGATGTACGTGAGATATGCAACTCGGGAGAGGTCGCGAGTGGCCCACGCGTCGCGGATGTCCTGGTCGAGGCTGACTTTCCACCAGTGATCCATCCATGTTGGTGTGCTCGTAGGCGCCGTTGGATCTCGCGTAGGGTTGCATGATTGAACGGTAGTCGTCGGGCTCGACAGCCAGCGCGTTCTTTAAGCAGACGGAGTCGTTCAAGTCGAGCTTGTTGATACCATTGTGGTTGTCCTCCTTCCTTTGTGTAGTGCTTGCGGCCGCATTCACGAATGATATGAGCGATTGGAGCGTTGTGTCGGGTCGGAAACTGATCCACCTTGACAACTCGGAGGACCTCCTTATGTTTGCCGATCTCGGCGTAGACGCCATTGAGAACAGAAACACGGTGGGCGCCCGTCTGGAGCCCGGCAGCGAGGAGGCCGAAGTCCCAGCGAATGTTGTTGTTCGTGATATTGACGCCGCTGACAAGCATCTTGATCTGCATAATCATGGGGGCGTGGTCGGCAACGTGTAGTCGGCTACGTAGCTTGGTGTGGAATTTCCAATTCAGCTTCACGTATTTCACGATCTCCATAAGGTTGTCGTAGCCGATGAAGTAGTCGATGCGTGATCTTGCTTTGCTAGGCCCGTAGTAGGTGTTGCCGACGTCGATGTGCGTGTTGATGGCCGTCAGCTGGTGAGTCAAGAGCTGGTCGTGAATAAAGCGTCCGAACTCGGTCTCGTCGCTGGCGTGGTAGCTGCCGATCGCGTTGTCGGTGTGGAGATGTCGTGATCGTCGTCCTAGTCCTTGGTTGAGGTCCGTAACGTAAACAGGATAGGCGTGACGCGAGCGGGAGTGGCGGTAAGTGTCTGCAATACCCAGCTCCATAGTCGTCGGCACCCTGCTTTCCAGTGTTGGTGATGACCTGCTCCGTTCGGTCGTGGTGGGAAATACGCAGCGATGAGTCGAAGACGGAGCTGGCCTCGGTGCAGCTCGACTGCGCCTGCGCGGCCCCGTAGGTCGGGTTGTAGGGGGTGCAGTACTTTGACGATGTCTATCTTGCGGAAGTGGCGCTTGGATACTGCGATGCTGCAGCCTGCTGAGCTGTTTGTGTGGGCCCCACGGCCCAAGCCGAAGTGGACCCATGTATGGTGGAGGCTGTCCTCGAGATGGTGCGGGGCGTCGGTGGTGCGTTGTCGTATCTTGGTGCCTACGTACATCATAATCTGAATGGCACGGCATGTGTCGGATATGTGGTCGAGACGCCCTGGAACTCCCTTAAGCGAGAACGGGTTCCATCCAAGTATCGTGATGGCCTTCGTCGTGGCGTGATGTGGGCGTACGTCGGGGTCGGGGCGGCGTGGGGGTGGGCTAGCAGTCTCGCTATGATGAAGAGACGGAGCCCCCCCCATTTCCAGGAATCACATTCGGAGGAGGTTGGGGAATGGCAGGCGGTGAGGCGTCGGAAGAGAAGTAGGTGGGTCGTCGGGCTGGAAATTGATGATCAGGTCGTTCGTCCCCAGGGTCCCGTTCATGTCGAAACCCAAGTCCAGGTGGCAATTCAAGGTCCGCATGCAATTGTTCCGCTGGTGGCAATTCAGGGTCAGCGTGGTGTAATCCTGCAAGTGCTGGCCCTCTATGTCCGTGCTGATGTTGAAATTGATGCTCAGCGTCCAGCAATTCAGGGTCAGCGTGATGTAATCCTGCATGTGCTGGCCCTCTATGTTCGAGATGAAGTTGAACTTGTTGCTCCGAATCCAGTGGTTCTTCGCGTACTGGATGTGGAGGTGGTGGTGATGCTGGGGTCGGGGCTGGG